CCCCCCAATAACCCGGCCCGCCCGTGTCCCGCCCCCACATGTCGGACGCTCTCGGTACCCGTACGACTCGTACACAAAACACGTGTCGTACGCAGCTATTGTACCCGCACCGTTGCCGAGCAAGTACATGCCACCCGTCGTCGTCGCCGCCGAGCACACTTCTCTAAACAACATTTTGACGAGTGTGCCCTGCGCGCCCCCGCGCCCGCGGCACGGCGCCGGCGACACGAACAGGTGTCGCATTAGGCCCAAGCTCGCCCGCGGACGTCCCTAACGACGCCGACGGCACCCGCGCCAGTCAGTCAAGTCAACACACGTCGGCGCCGCCGCCGCGCTGCACAGTCAAAATCCTTCAGGGAGATACCGTATCTGTTCTGCAAAAGGGGCGGGGAGGTGGGCGAATGCCAGGCCATGCAGTCACGGTCCGCGAGTAACTGGAGTTACCCTGACGTGACCTGTCCCTTCCTTTCTTTCCTGCCCCTCCGTACCCCCTTTTCATTCCTCCTCCCAAGCCCGTGGCGTAGCAAAGGAGGATAACACTCGGCACACGCCATGAGTGTCTGCTTGGTTTCCAAGCAAATGTGGTAATTTCCAAACACTTTATGCACGAAAATTGCCACTTTTGCTTGGAAACCAAGCAGTTACTTTTAGCGTGCATAAATGCCCTTCCTGCCCATCCGCGCGCCTTATCGATAGCCTCTCCGAAACCTCGACGTCTTGAACAATGCTAGCTGTCACAACGCGCGCCCCCGAAAGCACAGAGGGCGGGGCGACTAATCAACAACGACACCAATCAAAAAGAAAGCATATCATCGCGTATCGTCTTGTCGGACCGCAGACTCCCGTGTCGCCATACCCGCCGCACTCACTCGCACGGCTGGCTATCGCGCTGCGCTCCCTCCTGGGGGGTGTGGCTCTCCTCACACAGGGAGGCCGGTAGGCCCGTCGCGAGACAGAAGGAATTCCCTCGCGCTTTGCGTAACGCATACAGGAGACAGTAGGCGCCTCCCTGTCGCTTGATGCCAGTCGTAATCCCCGAGCGAGCACTACCGAGCGAGAGAGTGCCTGGCAGCGACAGACCTTGCTGCTGCTGCTGCTGCGGGATGCGTTGGAATGGAATGCGAGGGAGGAGGCGCTATCAGAGGTCTCGTGGTGCGACGAAAGCCGTGGTTCACAGGAGCAGGAACCTCTTCATTTAAAAACGCACCGGCAGAAAAAAAAATGAAACATGTTGCACAAAAACGCGCCGCCGCTGCTGCTCAGCTACGAGATAAGGTAAGATAGGGCGGGCGGCTCACGGCACGGCAAAAAGATGAGACAATGCACGCCGTTCAACAGGGCCAAACAGGCAGAGGGCTCCCGCTAAAGAAAGGGAGAAGGAGCGGGGGGGGGGGGGCTTCAGATAAGACTCGAAATCGGCGTAAACCACGTACACTTACAACAGCAAAACAGGCATACGGGAACAGTAATGAGGCCGTAACGACGCCGTATAGGCGATTACAGCAGCACTTGACAACTAAGAACGAGCGCGCCCCTCCCACGCGGCCCTTGCCCTCCCCCCCTTCCCCTTGTGATGGGACACCTCCATCATCGTCCTAGACAGCACGGCGCCCTTCCCTCACGACTGAGCACGAGCAAAGACTCACCTTTCCTGCGGTTGGGAGTAGATACAATGGCGTATCCGTTTTAGCGCCTCAGCGAGCTGGACAGATCACGTTACATAACACGGAGCCTGTGAGGTGAGGGGGCTCAGGACACGGTCTGCTTCGGACGGGAGGCTGAGATGAGCACCACGGGCACGGGGTGCAGGGTATGCACCGGGTTGGGGCGGGCGTCCGCGCCGTGCCCAGTGCGGTGAAGAGTCGCACTGTTTTGTAAGCAACTGCGGCGAATGACAGCCCGGTTCGCTCGCGCTCGCAGGTGCGATCGCCAAGCGCGGCCTCGCAGCTGTGGTGGGCAGGCTGACAGCGGCAGAGCGAAGCGCACCAGACAGCGGCGCCCACTCGACTGACTGACACACGGCCACGGCCAGCAACAGCAGCAGGCAGCGGCTCGGCGGCGAGGTGAGGCGGGGCGGGGCGGCGGGGGCCGGGCCGCAACAGGCAGAAAAGGCGCTGAGTGCGCAAACGGCTGTGGGCAGCAGGCACCGCGGTCTCCTGCTCTGGCAGCAGCCCTGATTCGATCAGACACTTGAACATGTAGCACTTTGAGCGGATTGTCATCGCCATAGATTTCCTATCCAAAATTGAGAAGCCCATCGGATACTAGAGTCATAGTATATTTATTTATAAAAACATTTTTACAAGTCAACGACAAATTATTTTGGCTTACAGTTAGTAAATCTGATAATGTTTATGGTATAGAAGTAGTTTAACAAAGAGCTGATTGTACACATATACATAAAATGGGTGGGTTCTTTAATTTACACTTAACATCACATGAAATGTAGAAGAAATATTCTTCTATGTACAATTTGTAAATATTTATAAATAAGCAAGAAACATTACTAAAAAGAGCCAAGTAATCTCTGCTTGCACAATTGATACTTTAAGGGTTTTTTTGAAGGTTTTATTCACTATGTATACTGTAATTAAGTGGGCTGGCTTTATACTAAAGGAGAGACGAAAACAGTTACATAACAACCTCAATGGGTGTTGACCCATCCACCAAATCCACAAAAAGAAAGAAAAAGGGGGAAGGGGGGAGGGGGAATGTCAGTCATGTGTTAAAGTCGTCAGCCTAGAAAAAGCATTAACTCTAATACATATTAGAAGAACTGAGCAAGGGAACTTTTGAAAGTAGCATTATTGTCAGATCAAAACAGAATGACATATTCCAGGCCCCCTCTGAATAATTAGCTGCATAGACAGGTCATAGAAAGTAAAATTAAAAGCATCAAATAACACAGCAATTGAAAAAAAGAAAAACTTCAATTAATTAAATAATGGTGCATTTCATTGTATAGTAGAAAAAGTAAGCTGAAGAAAAACTAATATTAACATGCCTCAAATGTTATATTCAGTCTTAAATAAGAGATGAGCTTGAAATCTCTCAATCCTTAGTGGTACTAATAAGTTATAGATTATATATAAATATAATAAATGCATGGCAAAGCAATATTGTTTTGGAAGGGGGCAGGATGTCCTAATGACTATCCTAAGCAATCCAAGGACAAATGTCAAAGTCTATTTGTCTAAGCAGCATTTATCTACTCAGCATAACTATACAGCAAATAATGATCCGAGATGGACCACTTCCTTGTTTTAAAAAAAAATCATTTAACTTCTTACTGTGTATTTAAGGAAACCACAAGTTGTGAATTAAAAACTGTCCCCAGCTAGAGTGAAAGAACAATGAACACAGCAAATACGGATTCATTAGTTTTTTAGAGGTAAAACAAAACAAAAATATCAATGTGATCTCAGTAAAATGAAAGCCATTGTAGCCATCGATGTATATCAAAGTCAGTCAATATTCGCTACAACTTTTTGCACAGAGGGTTACAAGAGAGTAAAATTAAAAGTAAAGTAAAATGTGGAGGAAAAGCCAGCACACTTAATAATAAAAAAAAGAGGAACTAAACCATGATAAGAATAAATACACACAAAAAAGCCCATCAGTTTTCAGAGATTTAGTAAAAGGGATACAGGTACCAGTAATTAGGGTACAAATGCCCATTACTATTTCTTTAAGAGGCAAAGTAGCAGAGACCGTTCAAGCAATGAAACACTCTCCTCTATCTCTCAATACTGTACAAAATTTCATTACATTTCACTAATAATAGTTTACTAAACAAAAAGAAACGAAGATCTTACAATGAACATAAAACTATATTAAAAATTGTATTTGTGTAACAAAATTTATTTACAGCTTATTGCTACTGTACACATTACTGATGATTTACCAGTTCCTAATTATCTGAAAACTTACATATATCCACAGGTTGATTCTTTTACTTAAACAACAGCTGCACAGCAAGTCCTTACATGCTGGACAAAAAAAAAGTTTGATTTATTTTAAATATCACGTTCACCTTCTGAAAATTGTTCTATGATGTACTTAAGTATAGACACACAGCCACAGCCACACTCACAATCATACTAAGAAACATATGAACCACACATTTCTAATATGCAGATAACACATTTCAGGGTCACTGACCCTTCACCTAAACACTGACAAATGATAAAAAGGTAACTTGTATGTAATATAGGAAGCTAAATGTTTATCCTGATACTGGTCTCCTTCATTATGGTCATGGAAATATTGATGTTGGAGAGTTCTGAAAAAAAGAAAAAAAGAAATATTTGACATTAGAATTATGTTTATAGACCATATCAGACTGTTAAATACCTCAAGTAATAAAACTCACCTCATTGGGTTGGTGATTGATCAGACGTGGCAGTTGATGTGGTAGTTGATGCCAATCCACCATAAGGAGCAGGGGGCATGAATAATGGGCTAGCAGGATAAGGAGGAAGTTGAGAGTAGGGGTCTCTAGCACCTGCATATTGACTACCATACACATTTTGGGAATAGAAACTGCTAGCTGAAGTGGCAGCCCCTGACATTGGTCTAGTGTGGGCAGGTAAAGCTAGGTATGGTGATGCTGGATCAAGACCTGCCTCAGGTCGATGAAATGCACTGTACATAGATGCTCTGGCTAGGTCAGACTCAAATTGATTGGCGCTTGGATAGCCATATGGTGATGCATATGGACTAGGATAGGTTGCAGCAGCGGCAGCTGCTGCTGTAAATGGATTGGCAGATCCAGATGCAGGGGAGGGAGGAGGATACTGACACGACGTAGGATTGAAGGACGGATGCGACATCATCATGGGGTTGTAGGCGGCAGCTGCTGCAGCACTGGAGTTGGATGAATAGGACCCTGGTTCAGGTGCAGTAGAAGATGAACTAGCAGGAGTTGAAGATGTGGATGAACTCCCACTTCTATTAGTATGTGCAGCTGAGGATGAGCTGCTCGAGGACGAAGGCTGTCGAGTTTCATACGATGAGGGCAATGTTGAACGAGAAGTTTCATGAGCTGCCTTTTTAGGTGTTTCTGATCTTGATGAGGATGATTTTGAAGTTGAACGGCTCGAAGAAACTGTAGCATTTTGATTTGTCTCTGTTGAACTCTTGTTAGGTAATGAGCTCTTTGGATCAGGCAAAAATCCAGGTGGGTAACCGTAAGGACTATAATAATTAGAGGAAGGTAGGCCACCAGGATACGCACCGTAACTGCTATAGAGGTTGGCATACGAATCTAATGGGGAAAAATTTGATGATGTTGTAACAGGTATTCCACTGCTTGATGTACTAGATGGATGACTTGATTTAGAATTGGAAGTACTACTATGGCTGTTTCCAGATGCGGCAGGCTTACTGGATGCTTTGGCATGCGACATAGACAGGTCACTTGCTCCATAAGATGTTTCTGTGGAGGTCTGACTGCGAGATTCTAAACTGGTTCCATGAGCTGCAGTTGATTTGCTGGATATATTGGAATGGACTGAAGCATTAGAATTGTCATCATAGGCTGGAGATTCAAGATTTCGTTGCTGTGATGCTGTTTTCATGCTAGGAACACCAGGAGAAAAGGCCTGAGGAGCAGGAGGACTTTTCCATTGATTTTCAATACTGCTGGAAGACTTTGAATCATCAATACTGTGATCAGCAGGTGTGGTATAATTAGGTGGGCTCATCATGCTACCAGCATGTACATTGGAGTTAAACTGCTTGCTTCCTGAAGAGTTGGGAAAGCTTCCAGAAAAAGCTGAAGCTGACTGAGTTGTTCCTTTTTCAGATGAGCCATAGATACTGCTCCCAGAAAAGGACTGACTTTGATTGGATGATTTTCCACTTCCTAGGTCTTTACTTTCTTGACTATGAAGGTTTTTCAAATCCTGATGGTTATTACCAGATAGATTATAATTTTTCATTGATGTATTTGATGAATCGGACATTGAACCAACAGACAAATCCTGAGTTCCTTGATTCACTGCACTTTCATTGTACCCGTCAGAAGACTTACTTTCTAAAGCTGCACCATCACTGATTTTATGAGAACTTTGAGCAGAACCAAAGCTGCTGTCTTGTTTGTTGCTATGATTATCTTCCTTGTCCATATCTCTTTCACTGCCATATTTCTCAGTTCTTGAATGGGTACTGTCACCTGCATCATTAATTCTACTTGAAGTAGAATGCATATCCGAGCTGCTGTTACTGCTCTGTCCATCATCACTCTCAAATCTATCACCTTGATCTGCTTTTAAATCCCCTTTAGAATCCAATTTGAACTTATCTCTACTATCAGACTTCATTCCAGGGAAATTAGCGGGTGCAAGACGGGGTGTAATTGTCACAGGACCAAGGTTACGAGGCTTGGTGTTGGCAGGAGTTACAGTAACAGAAGGACTTAAGCCTCTTAAACCAGGTCTAATATTTTGACCAGGTCTTAGAGGAACTGCTCTGCCAGCAACTCCACCTAGAAAAAGAATGCAGCATATTATTAAT